AGCCAGCAACGGCGTGGGAGGGTTGTGAGCATCATAAATCATCGGAGCTTGCGAATGAAGAGCGCTTGCTGAACTTCCTGCACTTGTGCAGATCCTTCCGAGTTTTGGGGCTGGAAGCGCTCGTTACGAGCGTTTATCTTCCGCCGGGTCATGTGGCTGCGCTTGTCTTGGTTTATTGCCAAGCCAGCAAGGGCGTGGGAGGGTTGCGAGTATCATCGGCCATCGGCGCTCTCGAATGAAGAGCGCGCGCTGCAATTCCAGCACGTGTGCGGATCCGTACGCGTTTTGGGGGTGGAAGTGCTCGTTACGAGCGTTTTTCTTCCGCCGGGTCATGTGGCTGCGCTTCTCTGGGCCTATTGCTAACCTAGCAAGGGCGTGGGAGGGTTGCGAGCATCATCAGTCATCGGTGCTCTAGAAATGAAGAGCGCTTGTTGCATTTCCTACATATGTGCGGATCCTTCCGCGTTTTGGGGACTGGAAGTGCTCGTTTCGCGCGTTTTCTTCCGCCGGGTCACATGGATGCGCATTTCGGGGCCTATTGCCAAGCCAGAAAGGGCGCGGGAGGGTTGCGAGCATCATCAATCATCGGCGCTTGCAAATTAAGAGGGCTCGCTTCATTTCCTGCACATGTGTGGATCCTTCCGCATTTTGGTGCTAAAAGCGCTCGTTCCGAGCGTTTTTCTTCCGCCGGGTCATGTGGCTGCACTTCTATGGGGCTATTGCCAATCCACCAACGGTGTGGGAGGGTTGCGAGCATCATCGGTCATCAACGCTCGCGAATGAAAAGCGCCCGCTGCAATTCCTGCACGTGTGCGGATCCGTCCGTGTGTTGGGGGTGGAAGCGCTCGTTCGGAGCGTTTTTTTCCCGCCGGGTCATGTGGATGCGCTTGTCTGGGCCTATTGCCAAGGCAGCAAGGGCGTGGGAGGTTTACGAGCATCATCGGTCATCGGCGCTCTAGAAATGAAGAGCGCCCACTGCATTTCCTGCACTTGTGAGGATCCTTCCGCGTTGTGGGACTAGAAGTGCTCGTTTCGAGCGTTTTTCTTCCGCCGGGTTACGTGGCTGCGCTTGCCTGGCAGCCAAGCTAGCAAGGGCGTGGGAGGTTTGCGAGCATCATCGGTCATCGGTGCTCGCGAATGAAGAGCGCGCGCTGCAATTCCTGCACATGTGCGGATCCGTCAGCGTTTGGGGCTGGAGGTGCTCGTTCTGAGCGTTTTTCTTCCGTCGGTTCACGTGGCTGCGCTTTTCTGGGCCTATTGCCAAGCCAGCAACGGCGTGGGAGGGTTTTGAGCATTATAAATCATCGGCGCTTGCGAATGAGGAGCGCTTGCTGAACTTCCTGCACTTGTGCAGATCCTTCCGCATTTTGGGGCTGGAAGCGCTCGTTCCGAGCGTTTTTCTTCCGCCGTTTCACGTGGCTGCGCTTGTCTTGGTTTATTGCCAAGCCAGCAAGGGCGTGGGAGGGTTGCGAGTATCATCGGCCATCGGCGCTGTCGAATGAAGAGCGCGCGCTGCAATTCCAGCACGTGTGCGGATCCGTACGCGTTTTGGGGGTGGAAGCGCTCGTTTAGAGTGTTTTTCTTCTGCCGGGTCATGTGGCTGCGCTTCTCTGGGCCTATTGCTAACCTAGCAAGGGCGTGGGAGGGTTGTGAGCATCATCAGTCATCGGCGCTCTAGAAATGAAGAGCGCCTGTTGCATTTCCTACATATGTGCGGATCCTTCCGCGTTTTCGGGACTGGAAGTGCTCGTTTCGCGCGTTTTCTTCCGCCGGGTCACATGGATGCGCATTTCTGAGCCTATTGCCAAGCCAGAAAGGGCGCGGGAGGGTTGCGAGCATCATCAATCATCGGCGCTTGCAAATGAAGAGGGCCCGCTTCACTTCCTGCACATGTGCGGATCCTTCCGAATTTTGGGGCTAAAAGCGCTCGTTCCGAGCGTTTTTCTTCCGCCGGGTCATGTGGCTGCACTTCTCTGGGGCTATTGCCAATCCACCAACGGCGTGGGAGGGTTGCGAGCATCATCGGTCATCAGCGCTCGCGAATGAAAAGCGCCCGCTGCAATTCCTGCACGTGTGCGGATCCGTCCGCGTTTTGGGGGTGGAAGCGCTCGTTCGGTGCGTTTTTTTCCCGCCAGGTCATGTGGATGTGCTTGTCTGGGCCTATTGCCAAGCCAGCAAGGGCGTGGGAGGTTTACGAGCATCATCGGTCATCGGCGCTCTAGAAATGAAGAGCGCCCACTGCATTTCCTGCACGTGTGAGGATCCTTCTGCGTTGTGGGACTAGAAGTGCTCGTTTCGAGCGTTTTTCTTCCGCCGTGTTACGTGGCTGCGCTTGCCTGGCAGCCAAGCTAACAAGGGCGTGGGAGGTTTGCAAGCATCATCGGTCATCGGTGCTCGCGAATGAAGAGCGCGCGCTGCAATTCCTGCACATGTGCGGATCCGTCAGCGTTTGGGGCTGGAGGCGCTCGTTCTGAGCGTTTTTCTTCCGTCAATTCACGTGGCTGCGCTTGTCTGGGCCTATTGCCAAGCCAGCAAGGGCGTGGGAGGGTTGCGAGAATCATCGGTCATCGGCGCTTTAGAAATGAAGAGTGCCCGCTACACTTCCTGCACATGATGGTTGTACCTGCCAACAAATGCTAAAAAAGCGCATGGATCTCTGTAAGCGTAGGGAAAAGCATTCAACGACACGAATATTGTTGCATATTTGGGTGGCCCATGTTCAAATTCACCAATCAGAGCAACTTCAGCTTAGTTCGCGCGCACAGAAAAGTTCGACGCTCGCGATGGCGGCCGTGCATGCTGACAAATGCTAAGGAAGCCCATGGATCCCTACAGGCGTAGGGAAAAGCATCGAACGCCCCAAATGTTGTTGCAAATTCGGATGGCCCGTGTTCAAATACACCTATTAAAGCAACTTCAGATTGGTTCGAGCGCACAGAAAGGTTCGGCGTCCGCGATGACAGCTGTGCCTGCCCACAAAGGCTAAAAAAACGCATTGATCTTGATAGGCGTAGGGAAAAGCATTCAACGACCCGAATATTGTTGCATATTTGGGTGGCCCATGTTCAAATACACCAATCAGAGCAACTTCAGCTTGGTTCGCGGGCACAGAAAAGTTCGGCGCCCGTGATGACGGCCGTGCATGCTGAGAAATGCTAAGGAAGCGCATGGATCCCTATAGGCGTAGGGAAAAGCATCGAACGACCCGAATGTTGTTGCATATTCGGGTGGCCCATGTTCAAATACACCTACCAGAGCAACTTCAGATTGGTTCGAGCGCCCAGAAAAGCTCGGCGCCCGCGATGACGGGCGTGCCTGCCCACAGGGAGAACTTAGAGGGGGGATTGTCAAACTTATATGATCTAGCCTGTGTAGGCTGTAGCGGGTTAGACACTAAAGGGTACACAATTCTAGGTTTTCATATTTGTATCACTTTCATTCCTTAGTCAATCCGTTCTCGTTCTAAGTTTCTCATGGTATCGAGCACGTTCCCTAGTGGGAACTTTCCTAGGGCCCACCAAGATCGAGTTTTTTTTTCCTGCCTGGGGCGCGCGTTGTCCCCTGCCCGAGGCGCGCCTAGTGTTCTGCCCTTAGCGGCCCGTCGCGCCCTCCTTAGCGGCCCCGTCGCGCCCTCCTTAGCGGCCCCGTCGCGCACTCCTTAGCGGCCCCGTCGCGCCCTCTTTAGCGGCCCGTCGTTCCGCCCTTAACGGCCCCGTCGCGCCCTCCTTAGCGGACCGTCGCGCTGCCCTTAGCGGCCCCATCGCCGCCTCTGCCGGCCTCGTTGCCGCCCTTGACGGCCCCGTCGCCACCCCTATCGGCCTCGTTGCCGCCCTTGACGGCACCGTCGCCGCCCCTTCCGGCCCCGTCGCCGTCCTTCCGCGGCCTCGTCGCCGCCTCCCCCTTTCAGCGGCCCCGTCGCCGCCCTCTCAGCGGCCCCGTCGCCGCCCTTTCAGCGGCCCCATTGCCGCCTCTTAGCGGCTTCGTCGCCGCCCTTCAGCGGCCCCGTCGCCGCCCTTTCAGCGGCCCCGTCGCAGCCTCTTAGCGGCTTCGTCGCCGCCCTTCAGCGGCCCCGTTGATGCCCTTCTGCGGCCCCGTCGCCGCCCCTTTCCGTGGCCCCGTCGCCGCCCCTTTCCACGGCCCCGTCGCCGCCCCTACTCGGCCTCGTCGCCGCCCCTTTCGGCGGCCTCGTCGCCGCCCTTCAGCGGCCCCGTCGCCGCTCCTTCGCGGCAGCGACGCTGCCCTTCACGGCCCCGCCGAGCCGCCTTCGCTGCCGAGCCGCTGAGCCGCCGAGCCGCCTTTGCCGCCGAGCCGCATTGCAGCCGAGCCGCCGGGCCGTTGCAGCCGAGACGCCGCCGTCACTGCACGGGGGTCTGCCAGTGAGACTGCAACCGGCCGACTAAGCGGCGTGAGAGTGGTGCGGTCTCGAAAGAAGGAGCGGGAAGCACACGAGTCAAGGGTGAAGGTGTGTACGACCGCAGCAGGCGCAGCACCAGAGAGAGCAGACTCGCCAGCACCTGGAGCAGGAGACTCACTAGTACCTAGAGCAGCAGCCTCACTAGCACCTGAAGCAGGAGACGCACTAGCACCTAGAGCAGCAGCCTCACCAGCACCTGGAGCAGGAGACGCACGAGCACCTAGAGCAGCAGCCTCACCGACACCTGGAGCCGGAGACGCACCAACACCTAGAGCAGCAGCCTCACCAGCACCCAGAGTAGCAGACTGGATACCTGGGTCAAGCGGCACACACAGGTGACAGGCACCCTCAGCACTAGTAGACAATGCATACATTGCAGTGAGAAGAGCATCATAGTCAAGAGCAAAGATGTCTACCCTCTGCCTAAGTAGCTCCAGCCAGGAGGGGAGCTCAGCATCGTCGCCAAACACTGTACGCCAAGCGTCGCTCAAACGGGCGAAGCAGCGGGACTCTATGTAGCTAGGAGTCATGCAAGGCTGACCTGTCCGGACACCCGTGCGAATGACATACGGGCAGCGAGCAGTACTCAGTGGAGGCGCGGGGGGGAGGTCGCACTTGGGATGGAGGTGCGGTGGGGAGGTCGCACCTGGGATGGTGGCGCGGCGGGGAGGTCGCACCTGGGATGGAGGCACATTGGGGAGGTCGCACCTGGGATGGAGGCGCGGGGGGATGGTCGCACCTGGGATGGAGGCGCGCTGGGGAGGTCGCACCTGGGATGGAATGGAGGCGCGGTGGGGAGGGCGCACCTGGGATGGAGGCGCGGTGGGGAGGGCGCACTTGGGATGGAGGCGCGGTGGGGAGGGCGCACTTGGGATTGAGGCGCGGTGGGGAGGGCGCACCTGGGATGGAGGCGCTGTGGGGAGGGCGCATCTGGGATTTAGGCGCGGGGGGGAGGGCGCACCTGAGATGGAGGCGCGGGGGGAAGGCCGCACCTGGGACAAAGGCGTGGTGGGGAGGGCGCACCTGGGATGGAGGCGCAATGGGGAGGTCGCACCTGGGATGGAGGCGCGGTGGGGAGGGCGCACCTGGGATGGAGGCGCGGTGGGGAGGGCGCACCTGGGATGGAGGCGCGGTGGGGAGGGCGACCCTGGGATGGAGGCGCGGTGGGGAGGTCGCACCTGGGATGGAGGCGCGGTAGGGAGGTCGCACCTGGGATGGAGGCGCGGGGGAGAGGTCGCACCTGGGATGGAGGCGCAGGGGGGAGTTCGCACCTGGGATGAAGGTACACTGGGGGGTCGCACCTGGGATGGAGGCACGGGGGAGAGGTCGCACCTGGGATGGAGGCACTGTGGGGAGGGCACACCTGAGATGGAGGCGTGGTGGGGAGGGCGCACCTGGGATAGAGACGCAGTGGGGAGGTCGCACCTGGGATGGAGGCGCGGGGTGGAGGTCGCACCTGGGAAGGAGGCGCGGGGGGGAGTTCGCACCTGGGATGGAGGTGCGGTGGGGAGGTCGCACCTGGGATGGAGGCGCGGGAGGAAGGTCGCACCTGGGATGGAGGCGCGGTGGGGAGGTCGCACCTGTTATGGTGGCGCGGTGGGGAGGGCGCACCTGGGATGGAGGCGCGGTGGGGAGGTCGCACCTAGGATGTAGGCGCGGTGGGGAGGGCGCACCTGGGATGGAGGAGCGGGGGGGAGTTCGCACCTGGGTTGGAGGCGCGGTGGGGAGGTCACACCTGGGATCGAGGTGCGGTGGGGAGGGCGCACATGGGATGGAGGCGCGGTGGGGAGGGCGCACCTGGGATGGATGCGTGGTGGGGAGGTCGCACCTGGGATGGAGGTTGGGTGGAGAGGGCGCACCTGGGATGGAGGCTCGGTGGGGAGGGCGCACCTGGGATGGAGGCGCGGTGGGGAGGTCGCACCTAGGATGGAGGCGCGGGGGGGAGGTCGCACCTGGGATGGAGGCGCCGGCGGGAGGTCGCACCTGGGATGGAGGTACGGTGGGGAGGTCGCACCTGGGATGGAGACGCGGGGGGGAGGTCGCACCTGGGATGGAGGCGCGGGAGGGAGGGCGCACCTGGGATGGAGGCCCGGTGGGGAGGTCGCACCTGGGATGGAGGCGCGGTGGGGAGGGCGCACCTGGGATGGAGGTACGGTGGGGAGGTCGCACCTGAGATGGAGGCGCGGGGGGGGGGGGGTCGCACCTGGGATGGAGGCGCTGTGGGGAGGGCGCACCTGGGATGGAGGCGCGGTGGGGAGGGCGCACCTGTGATAGAGGCGCGGTGGGGAGGTCGCACCTGGGATGGAGGCGCAGGGTGGAGGTCGCACCTGGTAAGGAGGCGCGGGGGGGAGTTCGCACCTGGGTTGGAGGTGCGGTGGGGAGGTCGCACATGGGATGGAGGCGCGGGACAAAGGTCGCACCTGGGATGGAGGCGCGGTGGGGAGGTCGCACCTGGGATAGATAGGCGCCCATAGAGATAGGCGCCCCTAGATATAGGCGCCCCTAGAGATAGGCGCCCATAGAGACAGGCGCCCATAGAGATGGGCGCCCCTAGATTTAGGCGCCCATAGACATAGGGGCCCATAGAGATAGGCCCCCCTATAGATAGGCGCCCCTAGAGATAGGCGCCCCTAGAGATAGGCGCCCCTAGAGATAGGCGCCCATAGAGATAGGCGTCCATAGAGATAGGCGCCCATAGAGATAGGCGCCCATAGAGATAGGCGCCCATAGAGATAGGCGCCCATAGAGATAGGCGCCCATAGAGATAGGCGCCCCTAGAGATAGGCGCCCCTAGAGATAGGCGCCCCTAGAGATAGGCGCCCCTAGAGATAGGCGCCCCTAGAGATAGGCGCTCCTAGAGATAGGCGCTCATAGAGATAGGCGCCCATAGAGATAGGCGCCCATAGAGATAGGCGCCCCTAGAGATAGGCGCCCCTAGAGATAGGCGCTCATAGAGATAGGCGCCCATAGAGATAGGCGCCCATAGAGATAGGCGCCCATAGAGATAGGCGCCCATAGAGTTAGGCGCCCTTGGAGATAGGCACTCATAGAGAGAGGCGCTCCTAGAGATAGGCGCCCCTAGAGATAGGAACCCTTAGAGATAGGCACCCCTAGAAAAAGGCGCCCATAGAGATATCGCCCCTAGAGATAGGCGCCCTTAGAGATAGGCACCCATAGGGAGAGGCGCTCCTAGAGATAGGCGCCCCTAGATATAGGTGCCCCTAGAGATAGGCGCCCATAGAGAGAGGCGCCCATAGAGATAGGCGCCCCTAGAGATAGGTGCCCATAGAGATAGGCGCCCCTAGAGATAGGCGCCCATAGAGATAGGCGCCCATAGAGATAGGCGCCCCTAGAGATAGACGCCCCTAGAGATAGGCGCCCATTGAGATAGGCGCACCTAGAGATAGGCGCCCATAGAGATAGGCGCCCATAGAGATAGGTGCCCCTAGAGATAGGTGCCCCTAGAGATAGGCGCCCATAGAGATAGGCGCCAATAAAGATAGGCGCCCATAGAGATAGGCGCCCATAGAGACATGCGCCCTTTGAGAGAGGCACCCATAGTGATAGGCGCCCCTAGAGATAGGCGGAACTAGAGATAGGCGCCCCTAGAGATAGTCGCCCCTAGAGATAGGCACCCATAGAGATAGGCGCCCCTACAAATAGGCGCACCTAGAGATAGGCGCCCATAAAGATAAGCGCCCCTAGAGATAGGCGTCCCTAGAGATAGGTGCCCCTAGAGATAGGCGCCCCTAGAGATAGGCGCCCCTATAGATAGGCGCCCATAGAGATAGGCGCCCCTAGAGATAGGCGCCCCTAGAGATAGGCGCTCATAGGGATAGGCGTCCATAGAGATAGGCGCCCCTAGATCTAGGCGCCCATAGACATAGGGGCACATAGAGATAGGCGCCCCTATAGATAGGAGCCCCTAGAGATAGGCACCCCTAGAGATAGGTTCCCATAGAGATAGGTGCCCATAGAGATAGGCGCCCATAGAGATAGGCACCCATAGAGATAGGCGCCCCTAGAGATAGGCGCCCATAGAGATAGGCGGCCATAGAGATAGGCGTCCCTAGATTTAGGCGCCCATAAAGATAGGGGCCCATAGAGCTAGGCGCCCCTATAGATAGGCGCCCCTAGAGATAGGTGCCCATAAAGATAGGCGCTTATAGAGATAAGCGCCCATAAAGATAGGCGCCCCTAGGGATAGGCAGCCCTAGAGATAGGCGCCCTTAGAGATAGGCGCCCCTAGAGATAGGCACCCCTGGAGATGGGCGCCCATAGAGATAGGCGCCCCTAGAGATTGGCGCCCCAAGAGATAGGCGCCCCTAAAGATACACGCCCCTAGAGACAGGCGCCCATAGAGATAGGAGCCCCTAGAGATAGGCGCCCCTAGAGATAGGCGCCCCTAGAGATAGGCGCCCCTAGAGATAGGCGCACCTAGAGATAGGCACCCATAGAGATAGGCGCCCCTAGAGATAGGCGCTCATAGAGATAGGCACCCATAAAGATAGGCGCTCATAGATAAGCGCCCCTTGAGATAGGTGCCCCTAGAGATAGGCGCCCATAGAGATAGGCGCTCCTAGAGATAAGCGCCCATAGAGATAGGTGCCCGTAGAGATATGAGCCCCTAGAGATAGGCGCCCCTAGAGATAAGCGCCCCTAGAGATAGGCGCCCCTAAAGATAGGCGCTCATAGAAATAGGCGCCCATAGAGATAGACGCCCCTAGAGATAGGCGCCCCTAGAGATAGGCGCCCTTAGAGATAGGCGCCCATATAGATAGGCGCCCCTAGAGATAGGCGCCCATAGAGATAGGCGCCCCTAGATATACGCGCCCCTAGAGATAGGCGCCCATAGAGATAGGAACCCATAGAGATAGGCGCCCATAGAGATAGGTGCCCATAGAGATAGGAGCCCCTAGAGATAGGCGCTCATAGAGATAGGCGTGCCTAGAGATAGCCGTCCCTAGAGATAGGCGCCCCTATAGATAGGCGCCCCTATAGATAGGCGCCCCTATAGATAGGCGCTCCTAGAGATAGGCGCTCATAGAGATAGGGGCCCATAGAGATAGGCGCCCATAGAGATAGGCGCCCATAGAGATAGGCGCTCATAGAGATAGGCGCCCATAGAGATAGGCGCCCATAGAGATAGGCGCTCATCGAGATAGGCGCTCAAAGAGATAAGCGCCCATAGAGATAGGCGCCCCTAGATATAGGCGCCCCTAGAGATAGGCGCTCATAGAGATAGGCGCCCATAGAGATAGGCGCCCCTAGAGATATGCGCCCCTAGATATAGGCGCCCATAGAGATAGGCGCCCATAGAGATAGGCGCTCATAGAGATAGGCGCCCATAGAGATAGGCGCCCCTAGATATAGGCGCTCATAGAGATAGGCGCCCATAGAGATAGGCGCCCCTAGATGTAGGCGCTCATAGAGATAGGTGCTCCTAGAGATAGGCGCTCATAGAGATAGGCACCCATAAAGATAGGCGCTCATAGATAAGCGCCCCTTGAGATAGGTGCCCCTAGAGATAGGCGCCCATAGAGATAGGCGCTCCTAGAGATAAGCGCCCATAGAGATAGGTGCCTGTAGAGATATGAGCCCCTAGAGATAGGCGCCCCTAGAGATAAGCGCCCCTAGAGATAGGCGCCCCTAAAGATAGGCGCTCATAGAAATAGGCGCCCATAGAGATAGACGCCCCTAGAGATAGGCGCCCCTAGAGATAGGCGCCCTTAGAGATAGGCGCCCATATAGATAGGCGCCCCTAGAGATAGGCGCCCATAGAGATAGGCGCCCCTAGATATACGCGCCCCTAGAGATAGGCGCCCATAGAGATAGGAGCCCATAGAGATAGGCGCCCATAGAGATAGGTGCCCATAGAGATAGGAGCCCCTAGAGATAGGCGCTCATAGAGATAGGCGTGCCTAGAGATAGCCGTCCCTAGAGATAGGCGCCCCTACAGATAGGCGCCCCTATAGATAGGCGCCCCTATAGATAGGCGCTCCTAGAGATAGGCGCTCATAGAGATAGGCGCCCATAGAGATAGGCGCCCATAGAGATAGGCGCCCATAGAGATAGGCGCTCATAGAGATAGGCGCCCATAGAGATAGGCGCCCATAGAGATAGGCGCTCATCGAGATAGGCGCTCAAAGAGATAAGCGCCCATAGAGATAGGCGCCCCTAGATATAGGCGCCCCTAGAGATAGGCGCTCATAGAGATAGGCGCCCATAGAGATAGGCGCCCCTAGAGATATGCGCCCCTAGATAGAGGCGCCCATAGAGATAGGCGCCCATAGAGATAGGCGCTCATAGAGATAGGCGCCCATAGAGATAGGCGCCCCTAGATATAGGCGCTCATAGAGATAGGCGCCCATAGAGATAGGCGCCCCTAGATGTAAGCGCTCATAGAGATAGGTGCTCCTAGAGATAGGCGCTCATAGAGATAGGCGCCCATAGAAATAGGCGCTCATAGAGATAGGCGCTCATAGAGATAGGCGGCCATAGAGATAGGCGCCCCTAGATATAGGCGCCCATAGAGATAGGCGCCCCTAGAGATAGGCGCCCATAGAGATAGGCGCCCATAGAGATAGGCGCCCATAGAGATAAGCGCCCCTAGATATAGGCGCTCATAGAGATAGGCGCCCAAAGAGATAAGCGCCCCTAGATATAGGCGCTCATAGAGATAGGCGCCCATAGAGATAGGCGCCCCTAGATAGAGGCGCCCATAGAGATAGGCGCCCATAGAGATTGGCGCCCCTAGAGATATGCACCCCTAGATATAGGCGCCCATAGAGATAGGCGCCCATGGAAATAGGCGCTCATAGAGATAGGCGCTCATAGAGATAGGCGCCCATAGAGATAGGCGCCGCTAGATATAGGCGCTCATGAAGATAGGCGCCCATAGAGATAGGGGCCCCTAGATATAGGCGCTCATAGAGATAGGCGCTCCTAGAGATAGGCGCTCATAGAGATAGGCGCCCATAGAGATAGGCGCCCATAAAGATAGGCGCTCATAGAGATAGGCGCCCATAGAGATGGGGGCCCCTAGATATAGGCGCCCATAGAGATAGGCGCCCCTAGAGATAGGCGTCCAAAGAGATAGGCGCCCATAGAGATAGGCGCCCTTAGAGATAGGCGCCCCTAGAAATAGGCGCCCATAGAGATAGGCGCCCATAGAGATAGGCACCCCTAGATATAGGCACCCATAGAGATAGGCGCCCCTAGAGATAGGCGCCCATAGAGATAGGCGCTCATAGAGATAGGCGCCTATAGATATAGGCGCCCCTAGATATAGGCGCCCATAGAGATAGGTGCCCCTAAAGAGAGGCGCCCATAGAGATAGGCGCCCCTAGAGATAGGCGCCCCTAGAGATAGGCCCCCATAGAGATAGGCGCCCATAGAGATAGGGGCCCCTAGGTTTAGGTGCCCATAGAGATAGGCGCCCGTAGAGATAGGCGCCCCTATAGATAGGAGCCCCTAGAGGTAGGCGCTCCTAGAGATAGGCGCTCATAGAGATAGGCGCCTATAGAGATAGGCGCCCATAGAGATAGGCGCCCCTAGAGATAGGCGGCCCTAGAGATTGGCACT